CCCCTTAAGTGGTATTAACTCCTTTCTATAGTTCTCTCTCTGTCCTTCTCTGCTTCTCATGGTCAGTCTTGCACATAGGTTTGTATATTTCAATCCTCTAAGGATGACACTGTTTTCTTTATGCTGATCAACCGACACATTTTAAATAATTTTCCAATTGTTTTGCCAAGTCTTGACATTTCCACATATGATTTCAAAATGTTAATACTTATTCAATACCATCGTCCTCAACATTTTACTTCCCATCCTTAAACTACTAATTTTTTCTTCAACCAGATAAGATTAAAGTTTTTCTTTGTAATTTCCTTTCTACTTTCTGCTAATTTCATACTTTTCAGCCTATGTTGTGAACTTTGGCTTCATTCTGCTCTGTTTCTGGACAGGAATTAAGCTTTTCTGTTTGCTGCTAATTCATAACACGCCTGACATGTTTCTGGAAAGTAGGTAAACCCCCCTTCAAAATTTCTTTATAAATTTTTTCTAGAAACTTGGGAGGCATTATATTAAGACCCTTCTAGTGCCCACATTCAAGACATTTTTTGATATCATGTATGGTTTGGCTCTGCAGCTTTTAAGATGAGTCTGTTTCTGCCATTTTGCTGCCAAATGATTCTACCCTACAAAATCTTCAGATGATTCAATTGTTTTCTGCAGTTTTAAGTTTCTGATGACTTCCTATCACATTTTCATATGTTCTTCAGGTAATTTCAGCTTTTTTCATTCAGCAAAAGCATTCCCACTTTGATGTTTCTCCGAAACAGCTTTTTCTAGTTTTAATCAACTTCTGCTCTTCCATTAATGAAATAGCATCACCTGGGGTCACTCGGGCACATAAAAAGTCGTCTAGTTCTGTCATTTTTTACCAATGTTTAACTGGCCTTCTCAAACAACTCACATCTTTGTCAGTGAAGTTGAGTGCTCCCACATTTCTTCCTTCCAAAATTCTGAGATTAAAGTCAGAAGTCTGAGAAAAAAAAGTCAGAATTCTGTAAAAGAAAATGAACTGATTTTTAAATATTATTTCAGTTTAATATGGGAAAAAAGTCAGAATTCTGACTTTAATCTCAGAATTCTGACTTTTTTCCCATATTAAACTGAAATAATCAGTTCACTTTTTTTTTTTTTTTTTTCAGTGGCCCTAATTCTCTTTCGTACTGATGGAGCAAAGTTAGCTGGTTAAAAAAACAAAACAAACAATAACAACAAAAAACACTTCATAGCTACAGCTTCATGATTTTAGATTTTAGCTGTATTTTTAAATTCGCATCAGCAAATTTCCTTTTTTTGTGACATTTCCTTTTTTTGTTACAAATCCCAAAATCTTTTACAGCATTTTCCTTATCTAGTTTACAATTTGTGTTGGGTATTATATATTGCAAGCCGTGTTATGAAATTGCAAATAAATGTATTGGATTTAAAAATGTCTTGCCTAAGAATACATGATTTTGGAAAGAGGATTAAATAGTACATTATTCAAAATAGGGAAAAATATATCAGGTAAATGTGAATTTTTTGGACAAGAAGAAACAGTAGAACATGTAGTGATGTATTGTAAGAAGTGTGAGGAAGAAAGAAACAAATTGGTTATAGACCTAAATAAGGAGAAAGTAAAATTGAATTTGATAGATATTCTGCAGAAAAGGTCAAAAAAATATTATCAATATTTATTTAAATATTTAACATTAACAGGAATAATTAGGAGGATTTAGTATATTTATATAATATATATGAGTAATATTATATATATATATATATATATATATATATATATATATATATATATATATATATATATATATATATATATATATATATATATATATATATATATATATATATATATATATATATATATATATAGATAAATAAACACAAGTATCTTTATGAATAGGGCTATTCTGATTCACACTGCTCACCAGAAGGTGGGGGGAATGCACACCGAAAAGTTGTTTGCCAACCGCCATTAAACGCAACAAGACAATTTTGGAAAGAAGTGCTATAAAACCCAGCGTTCTCAAACGCATCATGGGAAACCCGGAAGTGTTTGAACGAGCCGTCACTGCACACCCAGCAAAATAACAATGCGGTTAAACAGGTATTTCTTCACCTTCCACGTTTAATATACAAAGTCGTGGTAAGTTCTGATCAATGGTAACTTTATTGTTTCTGACGTTGCCATTGAACACGGAATTATAATTTATTTATGAATGTTTGTAGTATCTGTCTTGTGGGAATCGGCTTAGAGACCCCGAACATCATAGGTGCAAACTGAGAGCGTTTGTTAGCAGGAAAGATAATGTTTGTGCACAGAGAACTTCAAATTTAACCAAGGTATGAAAAGATCATATCTTCCTTTTATCTTAATTTTTGAGACATGCATATTGAGAGAGTAGGTTAATCTATGTACTACAGATCTATGTCAAACTGCTGTTATGTTTCAGGATGACATTCTATGGGTCAACAACAACAAAAAAAAAAAATGAATCACAGATTTTCTAAAAATTTTATTTCAAAGTTTAAATTCTGGTTAGCGAGCTTGTAGATAAGGACCCTGTTTTTCTTTTTTAAATCACATTTAGAAATCTGGATTAAAAAAAGAAATGACAGCCTTTTCTAATTGACCCATAAATAATCTTGATAAACTTCAGGGATTTTTTTTTTCTTTAATTATCTTTTAAAGGGTTTATCTAAAAGGGCTTGGAAAATTTGAACTAAATGTTCAAAGAACCAATTGGGAGTAATCTTCTTTTCCAGGTGCAGATAACCTTTAGGAGGTGTTCCCTTAAATTTGTCTAAAGGCTGCATCATAGATTGTTAGATTGCCTATAAGAAGCTTTTACAAAATCATTGCTGAATGAAGTTTGGAGAAATCTCCCTAATCTTTGTTGAAATTTACAGTTCTCTGTAAATTACATCATTATAGTAGAAACTAGTGTTGCGCCGATGCCATTTTTTTTGGCCCCGATACCAATACCCGATACCTGGCTGTGCAGTATCGGCCGATACCAATACTATCTGTTCGAAATTGATGTGTGTGTATATAAAGAACTGCATACTACTTGGATGTAAAATAATTGCCATCATGGCTTTGTCAAGCTGCTGCCTACCTTTGTGAAGCAGGAAAAAGACTAATACAAAGTGAATCCAGTAGAACTGTTTATTTCCTACCTGGAATGGGTGACAATAGTTGAATAAACTTTTGGCTCTCAAAATGGTATCGGTGCCCTATTTGTTGGTACTCGCCGATACCGATACCATTTTAGTGCTGGATCGGGGCCCTGCTCAATACTGGTATCGGTTCAACAATAGTTGTAGGCAATCTTTAGAAAATGTTCCCTAAAATGTTTCTAAACATTCAATCATAAAAGGTCACGTAAAAAGTTGTAGCTAATCTTCAGGGAACTTTTTTTTTTTTTTTTGTATTTCTTTTGTTTTTATTCTGATAGATTTTAAGCAGCAAACACATTAGCTACCTCTCAGAAGAGCTTTAGGAGTCTTCTGTTGTGGATAATCTTAAAAGGACGTTTAAGGAGAGTTCCTCTAAGGCAGGCATCCCTAAAGTTGGTCCTCAAGGGCTGCTGTCCTGCAGGTTTTAGAGGTTTTCCTGTTTTAGCACAGCTGATTGTGATGATTGCAGTTCAGCAAAAGCTTTTTAATCAGCTTTCAATTAAAATCAGCTGTGCTAAAGCAGGGAAACCTCTAAAACCTGCAGGAGAGAGGCCCTCGAGGACCGACTTTGGGGATGCCTGCTCTAAGGTTTCAACAAAGTTGTTTTCTGCTGGTTACTCTTCCCCATGCCTCTTTGATTAAACTATTTATTAATGTTTGCAGGTTATGGCTCACAGGGAAGTGAAGGAGGCCTTTGTGAGTAATCTCAACGGGACCAGTTTGGGAGAGGTGGTGCTGGGCTCATTTCTCGCCCCAGTTTGTCTCGTCCACAGGGCGTTCATCTTGGTCCTCTACTACCAGGCCAAAGGGACTCTGCCGCTGCCGCTTCCACCCGTTTCCCATCTACTCCTTGACTTTTCGCTGCTGGTTCTCCCCCTTGTGTTATCGTGTACGCTTCTCAGCGACATTCTTTCCCAGGTCATCGTGTGCCTAACTGTTATTTTAGCTTGCGTGTTCTGCTTCATCTACCAAATTAGCTTCCGCTCCTCTGCTCTGCAGCCGCAGAAGATTTTCAGCAACTTTCTTCAGAGTCGCATTCAGTTCGACCAGGTTCCCTTCGTCACCCTCTTCAGAGTGTTTGTAAACATGAAGACCGCCATCAGCATCCTCGCCGTAGACTTTAGCGTCTTTCCAAGACGATATGCGAAGACGGAAACCTACGGGACAGGGGTTATGGACTTTGGAGTCGGGGCGTTTGTTTTTGCAAATGCTCTCGTCAGTCCCGAGGCGCGGAGGAAGAGCATTTCTGGATCCAAGATTAGCCATATCACAAAGCAGATCCTGTCTGTTTGGCCCCTGGTTGCTCTTGGGTTGGCGAGACTGGTGAGCATCAAAATGACCGGCTATCATGAACACGTGACAGAATACGGCATCCACTGGAATTTCTTCTTCACCCTGGCCATCGTTAGAGTTCTGGCTTCTGCTCTTTTAGTTGTTTTACCAGCTGGACTGTTGTGGCTTTTTGCTCTACTGATGAGTGGGTTTTATCAGTTCTTTCTGGAAACATCTGAGCTAAAGACCTTTCTAATGCACAATAATGACAGAGAGAAGGACTTTGTGCATGCTAACAAGGAAGGCATATTCTCAATAGCGGGCTATGTTGCCATCTACCTAGCAGGGGTTCAGATTGGACTCTATGTGATGCAGCCGAGATCTCAAGTCAAAGATTGTCTGAAAATGCTTTTTATCCTCTTTATAGGCAGCTTGCTGTCATATGCTGCTTTGCTGACGTGTCAGGCGCTGGTGGAGCCGGTCTCTCGCCGCTCTGCAAATTTACCCTTCGTCATCTGGAGCGTTGCTCAGTCTTTGTTTTTCATGTCCTGCCTCGGCCTGGCTGATATGGTCATCCTGTTCTCTAAGGGAGCATCCTCCTGCCGCTTTCTGCCGTCGTCAATGAATTTCCAAGAAAATGTCGCAGAGTCTGAGGCTTACCAAAACAGACGTGTCACAGATGGACTCTGCCTCATCCAGGCTGTCAGCAGGAACCAGCTGCTCTTTTTCCTGCTCGCCAACCTCATGACCGGAGTGACCAACTCTGTGGTGGACACACTCAGCTGCAGCAGTTTATTTTCTGTGTGTGTTTTACTGGTGTACATGTTCACAAACTGCCTTGTTATCTATGTTTTACATATCTGTGGAATTACAGTGAAATTCTGGTAAATGTTGGATATGCAAACTGTTTTTGTTTATATGAGGCTGAAATGACTTGCAACCAAAATGTAAAACAGCAGGAAACATTCAAATGTGGTAAAACTATTTAATATTTATGGAGATTAGTTTGAACTATTTCACAGCAGGAATGGTGCATCTGTGTTGATATGTAGTGTTAGTTTCCCAAAACATAAGGTTCAAGTTAATTTGGCTCTTATCTGACTGCACCTTCTTCCAAAAGTGAACTGTTCCCCCTGCATGACTTGTGATAAAGTGCAATTAGAGCTTTGTTTGCATTTCTTCTTTAATCTCAGTCTGTTCTCCACTAAGGCAGCCAGGAACAGAGGAGTGCATGATGTACATTTGATCTGCTGACAGATTGTCTCACCAGAGTGCTGCATCTTTGCAGCAATAATTGTCTTGTGCACTTTACATTTTCAGCTTTAAATATCTTTAAAAGTGGCTGACCTGTATGTTTATTGATCTCCATGTTGCCCTTTGTTTACTAAGGTTTTTTTTTTTTTTTTTTTGCACCTTGTATAGAAATAAATCATTTTAAGGTTGACTTCTCAATGTAATTTGTTGTACTTCCTTTGTGACAAATATGTAACATATCTCAGGTTGAAATGGTACAATTATATAATATATAAAAGGTAAAGTAGATTAACATTAGCTTTTTCAAACCCTCTCTATTTTCTTAATAGTTTAATGTTACTGGTTTAGCTGTTCTAAACAAATACTAGTAAATGTTATTTACAATTAAACAACCACCCATGAATATCATATAATTTCTTATTTAAGCAGGCATAAAGAGCTATGTATTTAAACTATTTCTAGATATACATATGTAATGTACAGAAGAGGATTAGGACCATTGGGGGAAAAAAAAGTTGACTGTTTTTTTAAATTTTATTTCAGTATAATATGAGAAAAAATTCAGAATTCTGACCTTTTTTTTTTTTTTCCCAGAATTCTGACTTTAATTGCAATAGCTGATTGAATTCTGACAGCTAACAAACATGTCAGCTTCATTTCTCAGAATTCAAAATTCTGAGAAATAAAGTCAGAATTCTGAGATTAAAATCAGAACTCTGATAAATAAAGTCAGAACTTGGAGATTGAAGTCAGAATTTTGAGAAATAAAGTCGGAACTCTTAGAAATAAAGTCGGAACTCTGAGAAATAAAGTCAGAATTCTGAGATGGTCAGAATTCTCAGATTAAAGACATAATTTTGAGATTAAGGTCAGAATTCTGAGAAAAAAAAGTCGGAATTCTGAGATCAAAGTCAGAACTCAGATTTTTTTTTTCCCGATATTAAACTGAAATAATATTTCAGTTCATAATATTGCAACTACTTTTTCAGTGGCCCTAATCCTCTTCCGTAGTAATGTCATCAAGCGTATAATAAATGTAAATCCTGTTCTCACATCAGTTAGATGTTTTTCACCTCATCTACGCCCTCTACAGGCAGTGCGTAATATAACATTAGTATTACGTACGGGGGGGGGGGGCAAAGGTATAATCAGTAATAAAGATCCCGCTGCCGTTGCAGGCTCACTAACTTGTTGCGCACTTGTTTATTTTTTTTTTTTTATTAAGTTTCAGGCGGCGGTAAGTAGAAATATTTAAATATTTGAACACACGCACTAGTAGGATTCATAGAGGCGGATAGACTGTCAGTACGAGGCGACATTTCCAAAGAAACTCACGGCTAAGTAGCTAGTTCCAACTTTCTATTAGCTTGCTAACGTTAGCTTTAGGCACTTACTATTTTAAAAGCTTGCTAGCCAAGTTTGTTTTCCTTCTCATCGACGAGGAGAACTAAAACCATAATTATACTCTAAAATATATTAGATCGCGAAAGGAATATAAGATAAATAACACTGCGCCTACGTGTTAACGAACGCCATTCTTGATTTCTGAAGTTGTTTTGTCAAGTGTACTTAGCTAACTGGCTAACAGGGAAATCTGTTGGAAAGGGTCTAATATACTATATATATATGTTAGTAAGCCTTTCCAAACCAGTCTTTCTAACCCGTACAATCCTATCTGAAAATGTTACACATATATATTTTTTTACAAACATGACGATTTTGCGATTTCCCAACCTTTCTTTTGCCGGGGTGTTTGCTAGCTTAGCAGGGAACATCGGGATCGGACTTCCCTGCTTGTAAGGTTTGAAGCAGCTAAAGCTATAGTTTGTAACTTTTCGGAATTGCTATGTGTTTAAAACACATCTTGTACGGGAAAGAAAATACAATATAAGTTGCTAGCTGTAGGATTATCTCAGACCTCAGTTCACTGAAGAGGAGTAGCATTAGCTTGGTGTAACTTGGGCGTTTAAGAACATCACTCCTACAACCTGTGATCGCTCTTGCATGTTTATATAACTTGCAGGTGAGCTGCTCTCTGGCCCCAAGACGACATGGCACGCCTGGTAGCGGTTTGCAGAGAGGGCGAGGAAGACTATCCGTTTTTATCGAGACAGATTCCTCTGTATATTGATGACACACTCACGGTAAGACCTCATGATCACAAGGAAAGGTTAGAATATAAGTACGCAGGCCTTTATGAATCAGTATACTGTGTTAAAGCTGAAATATGAAAGCACAAAGTGATTGTGATGTTGATTAGTACCCTTAGAGCTGTTTCTGCCCAAAAGAGCAATGAAGAAGATTGCTCTTATTATTTTTATTTTTTTTATTTCTGAAGGGGGCTGTTTGTTTCGTCTCTTTTTGTTGTTGGGGTTTTGGTCATACTGCTAGAAAGAATGTTGATGTCAGAAGGCTGAGATATGATTGTGTTTGTCACAAAGAGACATTTGGACCCTAAGAAATGATTAGATTGCTTAAAGTACAAAACAGTCTGAAACGAAACTTCTGATTTAAATACCAAGACTGCTGTTTTGTTCCCTACAATCTTCAATAAAATATTTTAGGGCTGCAACTGATGGTGATTTTGTCAATCAAACAATCTGCCGATAATTGGTTTTCATTAAAAATTGGATAGCAACTTCTTTTTGAGTTTTTACAGAACTTAAATGAGGGAAAACTAAAAGTTTTCCTTCTAAAGAGTTCTCGCTAGTGGAATTCAAAATATTTTATATATATATATTATATATATATATATATATATATATATATATTTTTTTTTATTACAGTTTTGATGTAATTACTCCTCTAAGTGGGTTTTTCTGTCAGCCAAGGGCATGTTTTAGAGTGTCTATACTAGGGTTGGGAATTGATAAGATTTTCACGATTCTGATTCCCTTGTCGATTCTTTGAAACGATTCGATTCCTTATCGATTCTCTTATCGATTCTGTTAACAATGAACTTGGAAAGTTCACGTTGACATTCGTCTGCCTTCGCCTGGGATGTTTTATTTCTGCCTGCCTTGGCGAAAACAGAAGGCAGCAAACGGGAGCTGCCAGCCTCTGAGCCAGCCAGGCTACCCGTCTCGTTACAGTCGTCTAAATCTAATGAAGAAGGCATCCGTTTAATGAAAAAGCGTTACTGTACAATTTCAGGAATAAACTCATCCCCCCCTGATTTAAATAACCTCGCTCCCAGAACTGCGGATCAACTTCGTAGCATGTTTAATAACCTCAAAGAGAGGTAGGAAATTGGTTTATTTCCAGAAATGGCATATGATTTACTAGGAACCTTATTAAGCACAGCCAATGATATAAAACTAGCTAGTTACCAACAGAGTCGCCTTCCATGCTGGTCGTAACTTTTGCTTCTCTCCTGAAGTATCAGAAACACTTTTTTCCCTTTTGTTTTGCTCTTCTAGACTTACGCCTGGTCACGTTGTACTTGCTTACTGAATGCAGTGTGTGTAACGTGCGTAAAAAACGTGAAGCAAGTTGTGCCCCCCAGTGCTAGGCTCTGGTGCTGCCTGGAATCGATAAGAGAATCATTAAGCGAGCTGCAAAACGGTGTCATGCAATTGAAACACACGGAACCAGTTCTAAACAGGAACTGGTTTTTGATTCCCTTCCCTACTCTATACTCCAGTTAATAATTAATCGATTACTAAATTGGATAAGGATTATATCAGCAATCGATTAATTATGACTGATCCGATTAATTGTTTAACTCCCAGTATGTGTCTCTTAGCTGTCAGAATGGACTAAACATGCCTGTGGAGTTTGATGTGGATGAACTGTTGTGTGTCAATGGTTTTCAGATGGTGATGGAGTTTCCTGACAGTATACTGGATGTTGAAGACCATGAAACGAACCCTGCTCAATGGAAACAATTTTCTGAGGTAAGCAGTTCTGATTTCTACACACATTTTCTCCAAATATGTTGTCATGTAGCAGGAACACCCACCCACAGAGCCTTACAGGGCTTTGTTTTCAATTTGGAGTGAAATAAGTTGAGAATGGGATTTATGTTTTCTTTTCCCAGTATTACTCCAAGCTGAAGCAGCAGGACCTGAATGTTGCGCTGATGGTGACATCCAGAGAGGTGTACGGTACGTTATCTCAGTCGGTGCCGTGTGTTGGCTGCAGGCGAAGCGTGGAGCGCCTCTTTTCACATTTAGTGGAAACCGGGAGTCCAGCGCTGGAGCCCCTCACAGTCAAACCAAAGGGCATGCTCAGTCTCACCAAGGCTTGCTTGGCAGACATGAAGAAGCTTTATACACTCTTTTACATCCATGGGTGAGAAATATTTGTTTTATTTATACGATGAGAACGATGTATAGGAAGCAACATAATGAATACTGATCTCCTCTTAGTTTGTCTCTAATCTTTTAATTGTATTGAGTGGTTGTTCTCTTAATCATCTTTACTAAACATTTTGTCTTAAAGATTTAATCTTATTTATAGATGGATTTATGAAATTAGCGTTTTTTTTCTTTTATCAGTATTGGCGGATAACTGCTTGTGTTCTCAGGTTCACTAGAGAAATTAGCATCCATACCTTGAGATTATGTGCATTGCTGCTTCCTCCAATAAAAATGCTTTGTTTTTCATGTAACATTTATTATTACTAGTTTTTCCATTAACCATCAAATTGCTCTATTTGTAGTTGTGAAAATAAATTACCTAAATGGGAACACTGCGTTCTGAAGAATCACGTTTTTCTATTAAAATATTTTTACGCTGCAATGGGGAGGTTTTTCAGTCGCATCAATATTTCGCAAAGCTGCAATGGAATCCCCTTTTGGCATCACAAGAGTAACGTGATCTGAAACTGGACCTTAGTACCTTTTTAAAAAGAAGAAAAAGAGGATGCTGGTGCGGCATATTTGGATTAAGGATGAGACTTGAGTAACTTTTACATTCAGCTCACAATGATGAGCACTACAGCCGTGGCTGAAATATGGATCTATGTTATAAGTGTTAAAGTTTATGGTTTTTTTATGTTATTGTGTTATGTTATTTTATAGAAACACCACAATAAAAAAAAAATG